AGCCGCGAGGTGCGGGGGCAGCGCGGGCCCGGGTCACCCCCTCTGCGCCCTGCGGCCACCGCGAATGCTGTTTACATTTCTTTTGCAACACGGGTCTGTCTCTGTCCCACTGACATTTCATCCGCTGTCTTTGGCCGTGTCCCCGACAAGGTTATAAAAGACCTGGCAGGGAGAAGCTACGTTTAATCCGGGTCTGCTCTGCACACCCCGTGGTTCTAACCCCGCGTTCTAGGCATTGGAGAAACGCCCATTGGATTGAATACTCATTTTCAAAGCATTGTAAAGCACCGTGAAGACAATCGGGTTCACACATTCAAAGTGGCCCGAGGAAATACGAGTGATCACATGGGCGGGACTCATCTGGGAAGACTTCCTGGAGGAGGTGTGGCTGGAAGAGGCTGTGCAAGGAGGGGCTGAGAAGCATGAAAGCAGCCTGACTGCCAACTTCTGGGCAGAAAAGGCCAGGCTTTCCGCCTTCTTTACCCACCTCTTCCCCTTCCAATACAGACAGCGGCCGGATAGCGCGGGGTTAGACACGCTGACTCTCAGGACGGACGACTGGATGTTTATCCTAGTCTAGTCACTTAATACCTGTGGGACTTAGGTTGGCCAGTTATAATCTGATCCTAATCTCCTCCCCTGTAAAATAAGAATAGTAATAGGAACTACCTGCCTGGGTTGTGTGAGAATTAAATGAGTTAATCTGTGTAAACTCTTACCAGGTATCAACGAGTAATCTCCATGCTTGATGTAGATCAACTCGTGTAAGCCTCACAGCCCAGCAAGGCTGGTCCTCCCATTATCCGTACTTGACGGGTGGAGAAACTGAGGCTCAGAGAGCATGGGGTGGAGAGATCATTAGCATACTGACCCCAAAATGTCAAACATTCTCCAAACATGACGAACGTGGACCCGCCCACCCCAACTTCCCCTCTGCAGGATGAGAACCACGATCCCAGCTCCAAATACTAGAGCCTTGTCTCCCCAGAAGAGACGTTTCCTAAATTCTAAAAATAGATGTTTAAGAAATACATGTCGTGGGTTCTCCTAGGCAAGCAGAGGCTTCCTACATCACGAAGAGGGTGAGGAACTACCGGCGCCTCCTGCCGGAGGGGTCGCCGCCCCCAAACATGATGTCGAAAGCTGAAGGTTATTTAACGACATCGGAGAAAAGCTATGTATACAGCAGGGCCGCAAGGAAGCGGGGAAATGCACAGACTCCAGAGAGCCTTGCTTCGCTGTTGCTGTTTGTGCTGAAGACATCCATGCGTTCGAAGGGGTTTGGGGGAGTGGTGGAATGAGAGATACAAAACTGGGGGATATGTCAGGTGGTGCAGGGGCCGGAAGTCCTAGAAATCACCATCCATCAACTCGGTGCCTGACCCTGCCCTTCGAAGGCCATGTGACCTTGGGCAAGTCGCTTCACCCTTCTGTGCCTTGTTCTCCTCATCTGAGTACAGGAGGAGCACTGGTACCCGCGTCATCTGATTACAGGAGGAGCACTGGTACCCGCGTCCTCTGAGTACAGGAGGAGTAATGGTACCCGCGTCCTCTGAGTACAGGAGGAGCACTGGTACCCGCGTCCTCTGAGTACAGGAGGAGCACTGGTACCCGCGTCCTCTGAGTACAGGAGGAGCACTGGTACCCGCGTCCTCTGAGTACAGGAGGAGCACTGGTACCCGCGTCCTCTGAGTACAGGAGGAGCACTGGTACCCGCGTCCTCTGAGTACAGGAGGAGCACTGGTACCCGCGTCCTCTGAGTACAGGAGGAGCACTGGTACCCGCGTCCTCTGAGTACAGGAGGAGCACTGGTACCCGCGTCCTCTGAGTACAGGAGGAGCACTGGTACCCGCGTCCTCTGAGTACAGGAGGAGCACTGGTACCCGCGTCCTCTGAGTACAGGAGGAGCACTGGTACCCGCGTCCTCTGAGTACAGGAGGAGCACTGGTACCCGCGTCATCTGAGTACAGGAGGAGCACTGGTACCCGCGTCCTCTGAGTACAGGAGGAGTACTGGTACCCGTGTCACTGGTGCCGGGGGGGCCGCATGGTCACACGCGCTGGCACTGTGATTAGCTACGCACACACATGGAAAAGTGCCCGGGAGAAGGTCCCGTCTCATGACAGCTTCTGGCAGGTGGTATCACAGCAGTGCTGAATCTCCCTTTAGATACCACGATTTTCTCAATTTTCTTTCGTGTACATGTAGCACTTTCGATAAGAAAAAATATGTTACTCCGTTAAAATTAAAGAATTCTGGGGCAGTCCTCTTGGGGAAAAAGACAAAGACCAAGGATCCAGACCGAGATCCGAGGAAGGGACTGATGACCTACCAAGGACTTGGGGGTGGGCGGCGACAGACTAGGCAAAGCCGGGATGGGGGGAACCAGGGTGCCCAGACCGCGGGGTGGGTGCCGTGATACGTCAGCTCAGCTAGGCCAGGGTGCCCGGCCGCTGCCGCGGGTAAGGAGCAGGCTCCTCTCCGCCGTGCTGGTCTGTCCCCACTGCCCGTGTGGCTGCCTGGCATCCTGACACCAAGCTGGGAAGGTGACGAGTGAGCACGTTCACCGAGAGCCGGTGGCCCCAGAGTGACCTCGGTGGCCCACGGAGTGCCGCGCCCTCCCCCATCAAACGCGGATGTGCTCCGAGCCTCACAGGTGACTCTCGCTCGGTGGCTTTCGCCCTCGCATACTCTTGGTGTTCCCTTTGTCATCCCTGGGCTCAGAGCGCCCTGTCATCATCTCTTAATCCCGCTTCCTCCCTGGGAGGGGCCGGTGCTTTGATCCCTGGAGGAGGAAGTCGTCCAGCCCCAGCGGAGCTCAGCACAGACAGGTTGGTGGGGTTTTAGGGAGCCCGGCACGGACCCAGGCCGCCCCAACTAGCGCTGCCATGTGGCTCTTCCCGCTTCGTTCCTGGGACCCCCGCCCCCCGTGGGGTGGTGTGCGGAGCTATCCCATAAGCACAGTGGGATGGAACACGGGGCCAGGCACGATGTGGGGACAACTCGCCCGGCCCTCGGTTTCAGGGGGAAGCTGTGTCCCCCTGAAGGAGGACAGGACTCCCACGTCAAGTCACCACGGGTTTACTACAAACCAGCCTTGTCCCCAAAGGGGAGCACGATCAGGGAAGGACGACTGAGCAGACAGACAAGCGTGACCACGACAGGAGAGTAAGGCAATGCCTGGAAGGGACCCCCAGAAGGCTGAGGGCGAGAGGGGCAGAGCCCTTCCCGCGTGACGGAATCGGGGCGTCTGGCTGGATGGGGGGCAGTGCGCACGGAGGGGGCGGACGGGGACACCCCCGGCAGGAAGCGGGGCCGCGGGAAGGGAAGAAGGCGGCGTGAGTGGCGTCCGGTGGGAGCGACGGGTCCAAACTTTCGGGCAGAGAGGATGATGGGAACAAGGGCTTAGCGGGAACTGCGTGTTCCCGTCACATTTACGTCGACAGCCTTTGGACCTGCCAGGACTTCATGGGGTTCTGAGTGGGGCCACCGGTGAAGAAGGGAAGGACCCCCTGGCCCTCACTCCTGCCACGATGTTTCTTCTCTGCCCCGGTGGGAAGAGACCGGAACCATCCGTCTGCTTGTTCCAGGTGCTCTGCCTACGGGTCAGACGCTTAGACCTGAGAAATTCGGACTCCGTCTCAGACGGCAGCTTTCCGCCTTCCCGGCCAAACCGAGGATGTGAACAGCCATGTGGGCCACCTGCTCGCTGCTGGGAGCCGGACTCGGGGAGATGGCTGGGCCACACGGCCTGTCACTGGGGGGTCAGGCCCAGCGTGTCTCACAGACACTAAGTCACCAGAAACGAGGGCACGCACAGGGACGTCTCCCGGGTCTGCCTGATCCTCCCTGGGGCTGAACTTGAGCCTCTGGGCTCCGGGATGCTGTCTGTGCCCAGGCCCTGGACAGGGGCTTCGGGAGAGGAGGCTGCGGCGGGGGCAGAGAGAAAGAGGCCCGGACCGTCCACTGCTCTTGTTCTCTCTCAGAAGCGCGCCTGTCGCCCTGTCCCTCAGGCGGGACTTGTGGGCTGTGGGTGGACAGGTGAATTCTGTCAGCACCCATGGAACCGCAGGCGCCATTGTCCGGCTTTCAGACCCATTTTTGTTCTTTTCCGAGCGTGACACGTAGGATCGTGGCGTCCCCCCCCCCGCCCCCGTCCCGCTCGTTGGGAGGAGCCTTGGATGGCCACCCGCTGCCAGGCCCGTCACCCTTCCCTGCTCCTGGCGGAGGTGAAGGTGTCTGGTGAGCAACCTCTTTGAACACTTTACAAAATCCTACCTTCCATTATTAGGTAATTATTCTGGGTCCCGTTCTCCCAAGCAGACTGACTCCCCAGGAAGTCAGTGCGCATGTTCCTTATTCTGTAACCGGAGCCCACCGCGTGTAGCGCACACCGGCTGTCAGGTATCTGCGGAAATACATCAAGAAGTCAGCTATGAATTTCTGAGTAAGTGCGTAAGAAAAAAATCCGCGTGTGAGAATGAGTTTCTTTGAGATATTTCTGTTTACTCCAAGGTGAAGAGCAGAGGGTGAGTCCGACTCAGCCCCCAGCAGGGTCCCTGGCGCCCCATCTGCTGCCAACACGGCCTTGAGATGTGACTGCTAGAGAGAGTCACTCATTGGGAACAACTCATCTCGAACTTTACAAACTCACACATTTGCACACTCCACTAGAGTCCGTGAGTCCTGCTCTCTCCCCCTCACCTCCCCCAGCCCCCCACGACCCTCTACGTGATCCACGCAGACACCCCCTTTGCCTCCCCCGCCGCCCGCTGTGGGCCCACATGCCTCACAGCTCCTCACCCCACCCATGCTCGTCCTGCCCGGGGCGCGTGGAAAGACCCAGGCTTCGGAGGCAGGCCACCCTAAGTATGAATTCGGGGGTCACCTTTCTAGGTGCGTGGCCTCCGGTGGTTGGCTTGACCTCTCTGTGACCTCTCTGAGTGCCTCGGTCTCCCATCGGGAAGTAAATCGTGCATAGACGCCACCTCGTAACCTCACGGACTGAGCGCCTGGCCCGTCGCTCCCCGGCTCACGCTCCCTCGCTCCCCAAACCTTTCTGGATGTTCTAAGCACACCGCTCACAGCAGGAAAGGCTGATCCGCTGGCCCCTCCTGTTCCCAACTCCCAGCTCTCAGACCGGCCTCTCCTGACTCTGACCCCCGAGCCAGCCCCTCCCTCGCAGACCCCTCCAGCCACGAAGCCGGCCTGGCGCTGTCCGTCCCGCAGTCTGCTTCTCAGCCCGCCCCCACCCCGTGCTGGGGTGTGTGCGTGCTGCACCCCAGGCCTCGCCACGCCTTCCCGCCTGTGTGCTGCATGCGGACATGTGAGGGTGGTGAAGACACCCCGGCCCCATCCAAAGAGCCCCTCGAGAAGCTACTTGTCCTTGCTGCAGCCGTGTGGCTTCTGCAAAGTCAACGGGACTTGGCTTCGGAGCTCAGGATGCTTCGTGCTCAGCATCCCCAGGGACAGCAGCTCCTCCTCCGCGGAGGACAAATCCGATGTTTGTATAGTGCCAAAAGTCACAGAGGGAGGACTGAATGCTGGCATGTTGTGACAGAGAGGAGCATGGCCCGGGGCTGAGGGGCTCTGGCCCAGCCCACTCCCTTCTTCCCTGTGTGGCCACTTCTCTGAGGGTCTCTCCCCGTCCTCTCTTAGAAATGGGGCTCGGCCACACCGCCCGCCTCGCGCATGGCCATCAGCATCAGCGAAACGAGGGGTATTAACGCCGGTGTCTTAACTGAACGGGAGGCCCGACTGTAAAGAAATGAGGTTGGATTCCTCGCACGTCTCATACCCTGGGTATGAAAGGCAAGTCCGAAGAAAAAATTTCAAGAATGTCCTAAGTAACAGAAACGTCACCAGAAACACGTGTAGGGCCTCCCAAAGTGGCCCGTTTGAAAAGGCTCACCCTCACTAGATGAAAATATTCTCTGATGTTTGTATCTACAAAAATAAAGGCCCACGACACCGCAGTCACTCGAAGACTCCAGGATCCCCGCCCGTGGCAGGCACTGCTGACCCATCACGTGGGAGCCTGTCGTGAGGAGACAGACTTGGGGACAAATGAGAGGCACCGAGAGGGCACCGAACGTGGCAGGGGTGGCCCGGGCGTGAGGCACATGCAGCCACCAGCGTCAGCATGCCCGGGGAAAGGGGAGTTGGGCGGGGCTGGGCCGGGCCAGGCCGGCATGAATCAAGCCTTCCTGCGGCGTGGCAGTGACCCAGCCTCGCCGAAATCCCCTATAAAAGGCTCCCGTCCCGCTGACTGGCACCGCACACACTGCTCAGCTGCCACTTGCCTCACCCTGCCCGTGTGTTAGGTAAGTCCCCTGCTGGGAACCTCCTTCTCGCTCTGTGCCCTGAGCTCCTAAACCAGGGCCGTGGGCAGAACGTGTGCCCTCTGATGGCCTCAGGCATACGGGTGCTCCTTACCACCCCCCCGCACACCCCCACCGCGTCCCCTGCGCTGGTCTGGCACCACCTGCCTCACTGGGAGGCCCTTGCTGCAGCCACAGAACCACCCTGGGCCTGCCCGGATCAGCCACGGTGTCTTGTTCTCAGGGCTCTGGAAGCTTCTTGCAGACCTGAATCAGGTTCCTCCTGCCAGCCCCCACCGAGGGGCTGAACCGTCTCGGGGAGGCAGGGGCTCCCATGGCCACCCTTCCGCGCCCCGGGGACGTCGTGATTTTGTGGCTTTATTCTAAGGGACCCGAGGCGTAACTGGAAAAGGCTGTCTTACTGTTCTTACTGTTCGTAGCTTAGCGGTTAAGGTCTGCCGCGTGGTGTTACAAACAAAAACAAAAACCAGGCTCTTCTCTGCCTCCGTCGAGGTGCAGTGTCCTGGGTTTCGTCCTTTGACGTGCACAAGGAGGCACGGTCGGCCTGTAACTTTTGGTGACCGGATCAGATGGTAGAAAGGACACCCCTGAAGGGCCGCCTGGGGTCTGCGACCTCCCAAACCTCGGGCCCCCGCCCTGCTGTCTCCAGCAGCTGTCTCCTTCCTTCCCTCGTGCCCCTGCTTCTCCGACCAGGCCTTTCCTTCCCGCGCCCCCTCCTTCCGGCCCCCCGGTGTCCTTGCCGGACCGGCACTCCCCACCGCCCCCCGCATGTGAACCCCGCTCCCCCGAGTACCGTGTCCCCCGTCGGTCTCCCTGGGGCTTCTGCTTCACGCACCTCCAGGTCTCTGCTTCCAGCCCAACCGGCCACAGCCGGGACCCGCTTCCCCTTCTCCTAGGGCACAGCCGATGAGAACGAAAGCCTCTCCCTTCAGTCGGGGACCATTCCCCACAGGCCACCAGGGCTCTGGACTCGAAGGTGACCTCCCCACAGGCCCCAACGCCGAGGACAGAGCTCACATCCAGAGACACTTAGACTCTTAGAACCTTAAGACTGCCCAGCCAGGGACAGAGCCCTGTCCTCAGTGTCCCCAACACGTGGTGGCCCGGCCTCTTCCCAAACACCTTCCCGACAGGCAGCAGGGGGTGACAGTCAGGCTCCTGGGGTCCCGCTCGGCCTCGCTGACTCACATACATCCTTACTGCCTATTGGTGTCCCCAGCAGGACCCTAACACCAGGTGACAGGCAAAGAGAGACACCCACAGGACAGGGTCTAGGAGGTGGTCGCCTCTGGGTTCCAAGGGTATGGGTTCTAGGGCTCCTTGGTCCCCTTCCAGCTGTGTGGCCTTGGGCAAACCGCCTGACCTCCCAGAGCCGGCTCCCTCACCTATAAAACAGTGGGGACGATAAGGGTCACAGAGGCCACAGTGAGAGCCCTGGGAGCCGCATGCAGATGCGACAAACCGTGTGTGTGCACGGAACACAGCCATGCTACCAACGCTGGCGCTGGGTAGCAGCCGGCGTCTGCCAAGTGCCTTAACCTTCAGACTAAGCGACGGGGAAACTGAGGCACGGATGGCAAAGCAGCCGGCCCTGGCCCACCCCGCGGAGGCG